AATGGTGGTACCATCCAGTTTACCTTCCTAACTTCTGTGGGGAAACACCAACTCCTTAGAGGCTCACCACTTCTAGAATTGTGGGTGTTCTTTGTTCCTCTATTTTACAAGAAATGGGCAGTCTGAAAATTCCTGCCACCGGCCACCAAGAAACTGGGTTAGAGGGGACAGAGATGGTCATTCTTGGGCAAATTAAACTTAGAATGCCTCTGCCTCTCATCACACTGCAGCTTCCTAAACACCGTCTATAGAGGCAGAGAGGACTGCAGTATATAAAGCTTTATTATGTGAGGTGAGAAAGTTGGCTGAGCCAAGTATCTACTTATGAAAAGTAATGGGTAAAGCAGAGAAATGAGGCGGTCTGGGCTAAGAAGGTGAATGCCTGTTTTCTTGAACTAGCTTGTCTTCCTGTCTAGTGGGATATGGCCCAGTATGCTAAGAAGAGCCACACCTCCACCATTCAATTATACCGGAAATGAAGTCTATTTTTAAGACACGCAGGAGGAAAGGTCTAGAATCTTCCCTGGGAACAGCCTCCGGTGCCTCATTAATAAGCTTACAATGTATGGAAATTCTTTTAAGTCTTCCTTAAGTTCCTCTCACTAGTACTAAACACATTACCAGTGTTTTGTTTTGTTAGGATCTGGTTAAGAAGCCCTGGCTGCCTGCTGTAAAATAGGCTGGTTTCATGCTGACATTGATCCTCCTGTGTCTTCCTTCTGAATGTGGAGATTACAGGCATACATCACCATCCTCACCTCCCCAAAACTCCTCCCCCCTTTTTTCTTTCAAAAAGGTCCTGCAAATAGGCATTCCAGTCAGGAAAAAAAAAAGTACTTTTCAAGGAGCAACCATTGGAAGACAAGACTTGAGACGTTGAGCGGAACACAAACATGTTTGATGCTCCAGCTCCAGCCGCCAAAGCCTCTCAAGAAGACACTGACTCAGAAACACAGATGAGGGTGGCCTCTTACTCTGAGGAAGGTCATTTGTGTTTGTTTGATTTTAGTAAATATATAGGTATTAGGAAGTTTTGGATGACAGCGCAAAGACTACGTGTCGGAGAGTGACCTGGGTACTGCCTGTACACACTCCTGATGTGGGTGAACACTCATGTTACCTCTGCAGCTTTCCCGAGGGAAATTTAAGAACACAAGGAGCTACACAGGTATCAAGAACTGGCCCATGAATTTAGGATAAATTCCTGGCAGGTGCTCTGTTGACTTTCTGTCCTCCTTCATAGGGGTCAGGTTTCATTTACTAGGGCAATTGGGATCCAGAAAGAGATTTCACTTAGTGATACCAAGCAGCTTTACAGGTTAAGTGTCTACTGACAGAACTCTGGCCACATCTTTTTTTCTAGAAACATTATCTAACAGTGGTCAAGTTGACATGATGACATGAAATTATTTATGTGGCTGGCTGGTTCCCAGTACCCCCGTTGATGGCCAGCAAGAGAGAGTGAGCAGTTTTAGTCAGTTCAACTTGCTTCTGTGACATTTATGCTACAGGTTTACACGCTTCTGGGAGACTGAACTGAAGCCAGAAGAAGCTCCTAAAATCATGACAAATAGCTGCTGACTATTTGTCAGTGGAACCAGTGGAACTTTGGCTACTTCTCACGAATGTCTCTCATGAATTCCTCCAAACTTGATTCCTGTTCTTATAAACCTTGCCAGGTAAATGTGGCCTAGAAAATGCCCTTTTCCTTCCCTCCCCAGCTCTGGGACTCCAGGCTAAAATGTTCTAAAAAGTACTTCTTAGTCAAAATGATCATAACAAACATGATGAAAACACTTTTAATAGTTCTACATTTTAGTGTCTAAACTTACTACTCTATGAACATAAAGTATCAAAACCCAGAGTGTGACAGGGGAGTCTAAACCGAAGTGCCACAGAGATACCGACACATCAGCGTTTATTTCAGCACTACTCACAATGGCCAGGGTTTGGAGCCCAGTTAGATAGGTGCTCATCAACAGATGAATGGATAAGGAAAATGTGGCATACATGTAAAATGGCGTTTTAGTCTGCCATGAAAAAAGAACATCCTTTGAGTGAAAGGAGATGTTACTCCTACTTTCATGTATATGCACAGCTCATCGTGTTAAGTGAAACAGGTTTTATTTGCCTAAAAGGCAAATACCAGATTTTCTCTTGTATGTAGAATCTAGATTTGAGTATACAAGACAAGAAAGAAAGTAGAATGCAGACCATGGCATGGGGAGGAAGCAGTCTAAAAAGGGAGGGAAAACGGGTAACAGAGACAGGCAAGAAAAAATTATTTCACATGTACAATATATATTTAGTGATGTGTGTGTGTACAAAAACTGCAGATACATGCAAGGTGGGAGAAACAAAGAGACCAGTGTGATGATGGGAGGAGGAAGAGAAAGGGAGGGCAGTGGGGGACAAATAAAGACAAACACAATGTAAAACGTAAAAATTGCCATAAGGACAGGCAGTGTTTTGTAAGCTTACTAAAACATTAATAAAAGGAACATATAAAGGTATGGAGCTAAAAAATCTGTGCCATTTAAAACCTAGAGGTTGGTCCACATGAGCTGGAGAACAGGACTGCAATGCTGAGCAACAGAACTTCGTGAGAAGGAAGAAAAATGCAAATATTAAATTTGGCTTTTGTCCAATAGCTTTAGCCCAGTTTCTCCCAATTATACTGAGGCCCACTCTGCCATGGAATTTGGAATCTTTTTTATATGAGTGTGCACACATATATAGATATGTATATACTGTGTGTTTTAAAACATATCCTAAGCAGTTGGTACTTGGCAAAAAGTCCTCCAAGGAAGCAACGGGAAGATGCCTTAGGATCATACATTCTTTCGTTCAACAGCAAGCATTTAGTGACATACATGCCAAGCATCAGGTGTGGCACTAAGGACACAGTGGTTATAATGCAAATAATGCTAAGGAAGTCTGGGTTGTAAGGGAGAAACTTGGGTTAGGAGTGGCTAAGTGTAAGCCACCCAGGATAAGGATGGGGAAGGCCTTCTATGCTGTGAACTGTTTGTAGACTGAACAGAAATTAACCATGTTCACAGGGCAAGATATAGGAAGATTGGAGTTCCAGGAAGAGGGACTAAATGGGAAAGCATTTCCCACAAAGGGTGGGGAGAGCATGGGTTTCCTGATTGCCTAATGTAATACTCTTTTGACATTATAGGGTTCAAAAATAATTGTTCTCAAATTATATACCAGTAATTAAATTTTTCTTGGACAAGTCATCTCAGCTGTCTCCATTCATACCAATGGCAGCTTGCTAATCAGTAGTAACTAAGCTGCTCTTTGTGGTCTCATTTCCTGTTCCAGAAGGTGGCTTCTAAGTGCCCAAGCTTGGGTTTCAGAAAAGCATGTGAAACACACCCCGCAGACCACTTCTGTATAAACTCCCCCACAGACTCTTAACAATTTAAAGTGCCAAATGTCAGCAAGTGGAAGGCTCCTCTACTTGAAAAATTCTTGTTCAATATACATTTTCCCCATATTGTCTCACTCACCCAAATCAACCCACAGGCTATCGGCCTTGGAATGTAGCCTAATACGGACATAATCTGAAATATGGTTAGCTACACATGATGATAAGGCAAACACAGCACTTATTTGTAATAGTGTAAAATTGTAAGGCAGAAAAACAGCAACCTTAAAGTGCAACTAAATGGGTGAATGGTTAGATAACAATGATATATCCATTCCTGGAATTTAGTCAGCTCTTAACAAGATAAGAATTTGCCATGACATAGGAAATGCTAGGAAGGACACAGATATGTGGGAGAATAAAGTACAAAGCATTATGCATATCTTATAACTGCAACTATGCAACGTATATAAATAGGACAATGCTGGGAAGAAATCCCACCAGCATAAGAATAATAACTGTTGTATGTGTGAGATGTGATTATGTATCTTCCCAATTTTCTATAACACATTTACAATGGCTTTGTTATTGGAATCCTGTTGAAAGCATTAACTCTTAAAGTTTGTAATTGGATCATTTTTCAAGTCCAAGCAGCAAGTCCAAGGCCACAGAGACAAATCTGTGTATGAGTAATATGCAGGGTCTTGTATGCCCTGAGAATGAGCACATAGGTAGGCTGCATTCCATCCCTCCGATGAACTGAGACATCTTCATGGTAAGGTGTCCTGGAATTGGTGTGTGTGTGTGTGTGTGTGTGTGTGTGTGTGTGTGTGTATAGGAAAGGAGACTATGCCGAGAACAACATCAGAGAATATCAAACCAATAGAGTCAGAAAAGTTGGAATTGAACCAGATTTCAAAGGTATGTAAGCCGGGTTTGGAATCACCCCCTCATTCTTGAGGCTTGAGGGTAAAGCAATGACCCTCTCAAGAGCCACACGAGCACAGCTGGGACATGGGATTCTGATGCCTTCTGTGACTTCCTGATCTTATTTTATATGTGCCCTCAGTTTGGGGAGAAATACGTTGATTTCCTATCTCAGTTTCTCCAAATGTTTGCCACTGATGGAGACAGCAACCCAGGCCATGGGGTAAGGGGGGGGGGCTGTTAGCCCTCAGGAGACAGACAAAGAGCAGAAGTGTTTCTCTTTCTTCAGGCACTATGAAAGCTTAATTTGAAAAGAAGGAACTCTTTCCCCCCTGAGGGAGACTGCATCAGTTTTAGTGACACGGTTGTTATTTAGGTTACAATGCTGTTAACTCCTTCCAAGCAGAAAGAATAGGTAATGGTAGCTGCGGAAATTCCATTTCTAGAAGTTCTTAACAATAGGTTATATATACATCTGGCCTTGAACACCAGAGGCATGCTGTACATAGAAATAGAGTGAGCAAAAATAGCATACACACAAAATACCTTGGCGTGTCTCAGCCATTGTCACACAGGTTTTGCTAGACAGAGATATAAAAAGAGTAGACAACCCCCTTCCATTCATCACCAAATCTACCTCTGCCGCACATTCATTAATCACAGAAGAAACTAGGAAAATGGCCCCAGAGGGTCTTACCTGTACTAGGAGCTCCAGCTTCCTGTCATCAAGGAGATGTACTTGACATCGACGGCCCTCCGTCATCTGTGGGAGAAGAAACACTATGGTCACTGAGAATGTAGTAGATGAAGTTCTTGAAGGTCTCTGAGCTGAACTCCACCAGGCACCATTCCTTGTCTGAGGCTTCCCTCACTGGGAGTTGGTCATATAATGCCAAAAGTGGCTGGACTATTGGTTATTCCAGAAAACATTTATGGAGTTCTTTCTGTGTACAAACAGGTATGATGGAGCTTGTTAGACAGTGGCACACAGATGGTATCCATGTCTTCAGGTGTTTATAACCCATGGAGCAGATGTACAGAGAATTAGCAAACACATCACTAACATACTGCTGGATGGTGGTGTCATTTAACCTTTATTCACTCTTTTAATATCTGCCACCATGAACAAAAGTCAAAGCTCAGGATCCCATGTCGGCCTCTTTTTCATCATCTCCTTTGCTGACCTCCAAAAAAAAAATGAGGCCTAGCATAACTGGCAAGCCCTAGGCCAGAGAGACTGTCTCAAGAAACAGGACATTAAATCAAGAAACAGGATATTAAATCAACAAACAGGACATTACAGAGTATCACCTGAGGTTGACTTCTGGCCTCCACATGGCTGCATATACATAGACTGTACTTGCACAAACTTGTATTAAACACAAACACAGCCATACCTATAGCATCCATTGACCTTGACTATTACCTTTATTTTTAAGATAATTAGTCATCAATATAGTATAATTACCAAATTTTAATTTTGATAGCGGTTATATTTTATACATGGTACCCCCAAAATTCTGTAAAAAAGCTGGTGGTTAGATTTTACTAGCTGGATCCAATACCACTGTTGAGGTTCAATGATCCAGAGGCCCCTTCCAGCCTAGTATCTCACATGACTCAATAGCAGCAGTTCTCAACCTGTGGGCTCTGGCCCCTTAGGAGGTTAGCTTGAATGACCCATTCACAGGAGTCACATATCAGAAACCCTGCATATCAGATATTTATATTATCATTTATATTTATATTATCATTTATAACAGTAGCAAAATTATAGTTGTGAAGTAACAGTGAAAATAACTTTATGGTTGGGGGTCACCAGGGAGAGTATGAAAGGGTAGCAGCATTAGGGAGGTTGAGAACCGCTGCTCTATAGTCTAAGGACCACTCTTTCTCCCAGCGACCAGCTAGCTACAGCCACAGTAAACACATGGAAGGATGCACTCAAATAGATCCTAGGCTTATCACTCTTCATCAAAGTCCTCACGAGTGCCTTGTTCAAGGAAGATGTAAAGGATACCACGTCTTATTCCCCAGGAGTTATTAAACCAAGTCCAAAGCTGTCATGGAATCCCATGAAAAAATGCCCTCTCTTTCTCCAAAGATGGCAGCCACCTACCTGCCTTCTATCATGTCAGATCTCTCTAGCTGGGCTCTAAGTCACACAGCACTGCTGTTTGGATACTGCTAATCTCAAAGAGCTCTTGATCCTGAATTGTGACAATGACTCAGCAGTCAGGTTTCCCATAACTCAGATCCCAACAAAGGGATTAAAACAGATTTAAAATGGGGTGGGGTGGGGGCACTTCAGCCTCTAGGCTTGCTATTTTGCAAATACTATCTCAGTCAGGTGGCCTCAGGCATGATGTGGCTCTTTAAGAAGTCCTTTTCTGACCTTGGAGTCTTAGGTAACTCCAGGGACTCCATTAGCCTTGATCATAGAGGCATCATCACAGGCTGATGTTATTTAACAACAATAACAAAAACCCATCTTTATCTCAATCACTACCCTATTGAGTTGAATGAAAGTCATTACAGTTTTAAACTAGATTGAAATCTATGCTGCTATGCCAACACATAGAAATGATTCTTTCATCCAAAAAAGTCACACCAGAAATGTTAGCTTCCAGTAACAATAGGTACCTAAAAGCCAAGGCATAGGCACTTTGGATATGATTTTGGAACTAGAGCCATTCAGCTCTCATTAGAATCTCTGTGCATGAGCTTGTCCTAGGAAGGAATGTGGTACAACCATCTTGCATGCTATTTTGAAGTTCTTTAAAAACAAACAAAAGCAAAGCAAACACTCATCACAGGCTTGAGAAGGTGGCCTGTGCATGTAATGCCAGCAGTTCAGAGGTAGAGGGAGGCAAATCTGGACTTTAAGACCATTCTATGCTACATAGTGATACTGAGGCCAGCCTAGGGTACATGAGACTCTGTCTCAAATAAAAACAAAAAAGCAAAACAGAACAAATAAACAGAACTGCCAGGAAGTTTAAGGTCATCTTTGGCTCTGTATCAAGTTCCGGGCTAGCCTGTGGTACATCTCAAAAGTCAAGAGGGCAAGAAAGAGTTTGCAAAGGAAATGCTGTTTGTCTTTTCCATCTCTCCAATGACAAGTTTAGCTTTATCCCATGCACATACACAGATTTTGGATTATGCAACCATATTCTAATAAATTTTATGAAAACAAATTGGTACCTGAAAGACATTACTGTAGCAAAGAAAGTTTTTTTTGTTTTGTTTTGTTTTGAGAAAGGGTCTCCCTATATGTAGCCCTGACCAGCGTGAACCTCAGTGCATAGCTCAGGCTGGTCCCTAACTCATAGAGATTCTGCCTCTGCAGTATTTGGATTAAAGGAAAGCACCACCCAGTTATAAAAAGGAAGTAGAGAGTCATTTTATCAGAGGAAGGCGGATCTCTGTGAGTTTGAGACCAACCTGGTCTCCAGAGTGAGTGCCAGGATAGGCTCCAAAGCTGCACAGAGAAACCCTGCCTCGGGGGAAAAAAAAAAAAAAAAAGGAGAGTCATTTTATCAAAATATGTCATTGCACATAAGGTTCAGACTTATAAGTTTACCTCTTAGATCTTGTTTTCATCTAAAAATAAAATCCCCGCTAAAATTAAATAACATCTCTTTATCTCCTTGATACATTGAGTCACTGTGTATTGAGACATTGATGTAGTATTTATTGCAATTGTGTTCCATGCTTCCCTTGCAGAAAACAAAATAACCCACAAATTTGGCATGGAGAAGAGTCAGAACAGAAGCCCTTTGAATCACATTGGAGGGCACAGCTCTCCTCTTGCAGCACCACTGTGGTTTGTGTTTCAAAAGGGCACCTGTTTATTGTTTCCTTCTCGAGTAAGATTGGAGCATCCAGTTTTCATCATCAGCTCAAAACAGGCTCACCCTTGTGGGTGCATACAAAGAGCAGACATCTTTGTTTGGTTTGCTAGGCACCCTGAAATTTCTTCTCAGTCCTCACAATTGTAAAATAATACTGCTCGCTCCCATCCCCCACCACTCATTTACAGCTGTACAGGCCCAAAGGGAGCCCTGGCAATCACCCTCACAGGAAATCCTTTGGAGAACAAGACTGAATGTCAGTTGGCTCCAGTTCTAACCATAAATCACCTTGCTGCCTAAACATTCTATAGGAACGTGGGTGTGCCAAGTACACCGTCATTTCTAAGCATACTTGAAGAAGTGTTATTTTTTAAAGTGTGGTGTCCAACTTTGCTGTTAAGATGTTAAGATACATGTAGACTCATGAAGAGCAGACTCACGAACAAGGAAAAGGAATATAGTCAGATATGAAATGATCTGTGTATTATAAAGTTGCTAATAAAACTGTTCTGCACAGGGGCAGGGATCAGAAGAATAGCTGATGATATATGATGACATCGGAGGTGGTAAGCTTCTGGCTTACAGGTGGGTCCTCTCTGCTTGCCCCATCCATGTACTATGCACTATTTAACAACTTGTTCAAAAAACAAACAAACAAACAAAAACAATAAAACAATGACACAATGAAACTTACTACTTTGTAGGCTAACCTAAAAGTATCAATAAAAATCAGTTAAAAGATGATTCCAAAAGAAAAGGTCTAGAAAGGTGAAGGTGTTGTTAGAGGTTAGCCACAGGGAATACGGTTGACAAGACTCCTCCTCAACCAATCAGTTTAATAGTACTGATTTTTTTTTTAAACATAAAACCAAGTACTTTAGAGGGCTGGGGAGATGGCTGTTTATAAAGTGCTTGTCAGCCTTGCAAATACAAGGGACTGAGCTCCATTCCCAGGACCCATGGAAAAGATGCCATTAAAAAAGCCCTTCCAGTGACCTCTCCAGGATCTAGTGGATAGTTCTCACCCAGTGCTTGCACAGATGGCCCTGATTAAATGGGTCACAAAACAAAACCTAGGATCATAAATCTGGGAAAGTGATTGGTGGGGATGTTGAGTGGGTGGGAGGGAGATAAAGGGGTGAAAAGCAATCAGAATTCATTCTAGGCATGTATAAAATTGCCAAATAACAAAGTTAACCATTAGGAAAAAAATGGGCATGATAGCATAAGTTTGTAATCTGAGTACTGCGGAAACGGAGCCAGGAGGATCCCTGGGGCTTGTGCCGCTTCCACCTCCTTGGCAAGTTCTAGGCCAGTGAGAGAGACTGTCTTAAAAAACAAGGCAGGTAGTGCCTGAGAAATGACACCGGAGGTTGTCCTCTGGCCCCCACGCCCCACATCCTCCACATGGGTAGGCACACCCCTTCACACAAACATACATGCACAATGTATATACAAGTGAACATGTCCATACAATACAAGTAATTAACAAATCACAAACGGAGTTCCCCTATTGGCCACAGTATACACGACTGGATATTGGGACACCTTCTTTTTCTGTAGACAGAAAAAAACGGGTGACCAGAGGTGACTCATTGAAGGCATAGCTAGTGTCTAAAGGGTTAGGGTTACTCTTGTGTTTGAAAGAAATTAAAACATTATGGTATCATGGTGATACTGGGTGGGGCTACTATTCAAAGGTGGCACTGGAATGTCCTCTGGGATATGACTAAAAAACAACCCAAATTACTTAGTAACAACCATGACCCCCTTAACGGTGTTTTCAAGGGAGAAGATCAGGGTCCCTGGTTTGTAGAATGGATTTACTTCTGGTTGGGGTTCAGATTTGAGATGGTCCCAGATGGCACCTCTGCAAACACTCTCCTTTCCATGCCACAGTGATACAGAA